GAGATGTATGCATTTGCAGATGGTCTGTTTAACTGTTTTCAGGCTACTAAAGCTTTCAGTTTTCCACTTACAAATTCCGGCATGTAAATAGCAAATGCACCATGGCGCGATGCAACTGACTCTCTCCAAAGGGAATTGGAGATGAGACTCTAATGGCTTATTGCACATTATACTCAAACACACCCATAGTTCATTAAGAAAATAAGCACAACTCTGTTAGACCTGTATTTTCTGTCATTGAAATAGCAGAATTGTATCTGGACATTCCCTTAATGCTTTTTTTTGCCATGCACTTTAGACTTTGTGCCTAGATCGTTAAAATAGAGCCCTTAGACTTTTTAGGACTCTTAATTGTTTTTTGTGTAGTTAATAACACAATGTACATGGTAAAAATTATTTTGTCTTCTCCAAACACAAATAGGTTACTTTAAATTGTTTGTTTTTACAAATTTATGTGAATTAAACATAAAACTTTTATTAAGTTGTCACAAAAACCTCATCAAAGTTTAATTAAGAAGTTTGAACAATTTTTGGTGTGTTGGAATTGTGGTTGATAAATTACCCCAAAAGGCGTTATAATGTTAAATGGGAAAAGAAATAAGTTACAAATGACTATATATATTACAACAGAAAACTGCTATTTTAAAATATCAGAAAATATTACTGACCCCAAATCATATACATAAGATTTATGCTGCCGTTTATGAAACCTGACAGCCTCTGAATGCTGAATGATTTTACTGTTTGGAAACAAGAAACCTTCGCATCCTGCAAAAAGACACCAGAATGATGAAAGAATTGTTATTTTGGAGTGAACTATTCCAATAAGCTTGTCTTTTCTTTTCATATTTTCTTGCCCCGCGGAGACACAAATGTAGCACAACTTGAGCAGTGCAAATGAGGTTCTAAACCAGCAGTTCTTTTTTCTTCTTCTGTTTTTATATTTGTAGCCATTGACTGCAAGTATTAGTCTTTCTCCTTCCTTTCTTCCTGTCCTCCAGCAAACATCCATCTGCCTTGAGCGTTTAGTGAACTGTCAGTGTGTCCTCATACCAGCTGTGAATCCAAGCTGTGCTTTGGGCCATAATTTGTTTGGGCAGTCCCTCTCAGTGAGGCCGGGCTCCTCCGTATGGTGTTTTTTATCCTGAAATTCATAGCACAGCACACCACTAAGATATGAGAGAATGAAAGTGAACTGAGGATAGAGTGAACACTATTAATATATTAATGCAGACTTTGCCTCTCCCTTTCACCATGTGAAAGCCTGAGAAAGGAGAATGGACAGAGTTCTCACTCGTGTGCGAATGTATGTGTGAGATGGAGAGAGAGAAACAGACAGGAGTATTATGATTGTGAGGCTTTTCTCTGGAGAATGAGGAGGATTTTTTTTCCACATTTTTTCAGGCTAACATTGAGGGAGAATGGACTTTAATCGTCTCACTGAAGTATGCATGTTCAGAACAGTTCTGTTGGCGCTGTTGATTATAGCCATTTAAGGAGTGTAACTATACTCTTAAAATAAAGATTGTTTATTTGACTTCTACCTGTATGGTACCATAAAGATACATTTTAGATCTTTTTTAAATGTTCCATACACTGGGAAAAAAAGTCATATTTTTTGGGCCCTATCATACACTCGGCGCAGTGCGGCGCAAGGCGCAGCACAATAGTCTTTTGGTAGTTTCAGCTTGGCGCAAGAGTCGTTTTGAGGCGTTGCGCTACGCTGTTTAAATAGCAAATGCATTAGCGCTCATTTGTGTGCCCATAGGCGTATTGGTCTAAAAAGGAAGGTGTTCTGAGGCAGACCGCTGGCGCGTTGCTATTTTGAGAAACTAAAATAGATTTTTCATTAGACCAAAATTAACCCGCTCTAAACTCCGGCGCAGAGTTGCGCCTCGCTTACACACTGCTTAATACGCACAAGAGAGCAATAGGCAAATATCTTTACAGATGAAAAAAATTAAATATTAAGGATATATATATATAGGATATAATAAGAATAGATATAGGATATAAATATAAAGGATTAAAATATTACAAAACATTATTTTCTAGCCTACATAAATATGAAAAACCATTGCTTTTATGTCTTATTCATCTCGGGAGGCTTTTTCAGTTCATTCATAACAATTTGCTTTTGTATAATGTTGTTATTATTAGCAGTATTATTTATTATATCCTTATTTATATTTGTTTTATTAAAAACAAGCTTAGATTTGCCCACCTGTCAGGTTTTAGACCATATGGGGCACAGCAAGTGTTTTAGGATATAACTCAGGTTTTTGAGCACATTTTGGTATTATTATTCATTTATTTGTTTTCTGGAAATTAGAACTGAATTTAGAAATAGTTTTGAAACGAATATTTGCGCTTAACAAACAAAATTATTTATTTATAGACTAATTGATGTCTGTGCGTAAAGGTTTCCCTATCCAAGAGCGAATGTGAAAATAGTTCCATTATCTCTCATTCTCACGCGGTAGATGCTCTGTTTAACAGTTTTCTGTTAAAAAACTGTTAACTGTTTGCTTGTGAAATGCTCATTTTTTCCACTTAGACTTACCTTGTGTCCTGTAAATAGCGAATGCGCTTTTGGCGAGACGCAGCTGACTCTTAAAAGGAATGGGAGATGAGACTCTAATTGGTTTATTCTCAAAACACACCTATAACTCATTAAGAAAATAAACTCAACCCTTTTAGACCATGCGCCACGGCGCAAGGCAGATTTCCCGTCCTTAAATTAGCAAAAACACGTCCTGACACGCCCTGAAAGCGTTTGCACCCTGCGTTTTGCGCTCTGCGCATGGACCGTCAAAATAGAGCCCTTTAAGTTTAAAGGTTATTCTTAGAAATGTTTATGAAAGGGGTGGTTCAGAGTGTATTTTAAAGGCTTGGTTGTGTTTATAAGATTGCATGCAATCTATGATCATGCATCATTTGTATAAAATCACATAATTTTTTTATACATTTTACTTTTATTATATACAAATACACAGCTAAAAGAAAAATGACTGTCATATTTCCTAGTTCCTCAATTTTTTTCCATATTTCCTCGAAAGGCCAGCCCTTAAAAGGCTCTGATTGGTCCGCTAACATAATGTGCTGTGATTCGCAGATCGGCTCCACATCACCAGATAAAGCGTCATGCCTCTAACAGCACATGCTTTTACGCTGTGTAAACAGTCAGTCAGAGTAGCTGTTAGGTGTATCAGTTTGTGGCTGAATCAGTCAGAAAATGACACAGAGGACTTCACGCCTGCACTCTAAAATAAAATGTGTCATTCACATATATTCTGAATAAGCATGTGTAGGTAATATGAAACTTTCACATATATTTTGCGTATTTGATATGTAGAATGCAGGAAAGGTGTCTGTATAGAGAGACACTGCAGCACTGGTGAAGATTGTAGGTGTTTACAGTGTTAATAAATATAAATTTGTAGCTAAATTGTTAATGGTGCCAAACAGCATTTCCTGTTGTTTACATCCTCGTTTACCTTCTTGCTACAACACACCATTAACACTAGAAACTGTGCATGTAATTGATCAATTAACAAACAAAAAAACTTATAGGTTGTGGGTCACTATCCCCAGCTTCTTCTATTATGGTTGGAGCTGCCCCTTCTTTCAGGAGTTTTCAGCTGAATCCAGCACTGAACTGGGAGAGATTCTGGAGGTTCTCCTTTGTCAAATGCTAGAACTATATCTTTTTTTAATTCTCTGGAACATAATTAAAATTTAATTGTACTTCTCTCTTCTTTGTGTCTTGTTCTTTGGAAGCTTAAAAACAGAAACAGAGCAAGGTCTGCTTTAGCTTTAGCTTCAGCTTTCTCTATAACATTACAGTGCCTCTGGCCGTGCCCCTTTGCTGCTCTGGGTGTATGCGCAGGGTGAATGCACGTAACCTGAAGCGTTTGTGATCTCACTAGCTTGGATGTATTTTTTTTATAGTCCCCAAACTTTGTTTGCTGTAGGCTTTGCTAAGCCAACTCTGTAAAAGCCAATGTCTTCCCTTGCATTGAACTTTGAGTGTCTTACATTTAGAGATGTATTTATGTTCACACAGCTACATTGCACATCAATTAAAGTTTAAAATATGAAATCATAATGGTTTAAAAAGTTATTTTTGGAATCAAAAATGGCTCTTCAATGTGATTAAATGAACTGTGAATGTTTTTAATAGTGTGTAAACATTATTTTTATTTAAACACTGTAGTTCAGAAGATTTAGAAATCTCATATATTGCTCCTATCTGGTCAGAAACAGATTACCAATGTAATGCTGTTATTATTATACTACTTTTTTTGTTTACTATCTTTACTATTTTAAAATGCTATTTGTTTTTGTGACTTTTTCTGTGTTTTTAGAGTCACATGTTCATTTAGTATAAGTTGCATTTTATTCTAGAAATCTAGACATTATTTTTAGTATTGAAAATGGTTGTACTGTTTAATATTTTGGTGGAATTGCTGATTGGTGAACCTTGATTCAGTATTCTTTGAATAGAAGTTCAAAAATACAGCATTTGTTTGAAATAAATATGTATATTTTACATTACAGTTATGCAGTTTTACAGTAATTTACTGTGTAATGCATTACAGTAATGCACTGTATGAAAATAAAAGACCTTTCAAGTATTAAAAGACATTACACTTATGCACCATGTAATACATGGTTATGTCATGAAGCCAGTAAAAGTAATTAAAACAATCTTATTGTTGTAATTAAAAAGTGCTAAAAAACATAATATGTACTTTAGATAATATTTGGTGAACTGTTTGAATAGATTTATTTAACTAAAAGTTTTACATTGGAAACAAAGTAATATCACAAAGTATAAAAAAAAAATATAATTTTGATGTATTGCTGAATTTACGAAGATTTGCATATGAAGAGTTTACATATGAGGGTCCTTTACTATCAAAATATTTGAAACTTGAAACATAATGCATAGAAATTAAATTTCTATAAACTGTAAAAATGATGTGTTTCCTCCACAGAATTCTAACCATAGTTGGGCCAGACTTTGATTTACGGACACTCAGGGCAGTGAGAGTCTTGCGGCCACTCAAACTCGTGTCTGGGATTCCTAGTAAGTCATATTACACATATTGATTGTGTCTTTTCCCTTTGTTTGTTGTAGGCATAATTTAATAGTGTGACCAGTCTTTGCATTCAGTTGACTGGCCATTATTGCTGCTTATGACATAACATGCACTCTGTTCTGTGTGTTATAAGGTCTCCAAGTAGTTCTGAAGTCCATCATGAAAGCGATGGTTCCTTTGCTTCAGATCGGCCTTCTGCTCTTCTTTGCCATCCTTATGTTTGCTATCATCGGTCTAGACTTTTACATGGGCAAGTTTCACCGCACCTGCTTCAGAACAGATACTGGTATGTGATCTTTAGCATGCTAATGGAGTTTGTGGTTGCAGTTTATTGTGTCTGTAAGCACTCACACACTTTTAAATTGCTGAGCTAGTTTACCTCTGACAGTAATGTTGTTCTATTAGGGGAACAGGTGGATGAATTTCCATGTGGGCTCGAGTCGCCAGCCTGGACGTGTGAAAACGGCACTGAATGTAGGGAATACTGGATCGGCCCAAACTTCGGCATTACTAACTTTGACAACATCCTCTTCGCTGTGCTCACCGTCTTCCAGTGCATCACTATGGAAGGATGGGTGGACATCCTTTACAATGTGAGTCAACATTTTTTTTATAACTTGCTGCTTGATAAATCTCAAGCAAATTACACAAATATTATTTTCATTTAGCTGTTTTGTGGATGATAATTGGTCAGTTTTACTGTAGTTAGTGTAGTTACTTTTGGGCTAACAGGCATTATTTGCAGCTTTCTGTTGAGTAGTTCTGTCTAAAAGTTAGCACTACCATTCAAAGGTTTGTGGTTAGTAAGATTGTTCAATCGATCGATCGACCAACCAACCAACCAGTCAGTCAGTCAGTCAGTCAGTCAGTCAATCGATCATTAGTCTTTCTGTCTGTCTGTTCGTTCGGTCGTTCGTTCATTCATTCATTCATTCATTCATTCATTCATTCATTCATTCATTCATTCATTCATTCATTCATTCATTCATTTATTCTCAATTGTGCAGTCAAAACAAGAAGCCTTGCCATCCATCTATGCCTTGCCTTGCCTTGCCTTGGATATATGGATGGATGGATAAAAGTTGGGACAGATACAGAGATAGACAAAAATTACGACAGAGATGAATGAATGAATGGATGGATGGATGGATGGATGGATGGATAGATGGGTGGGTGGGTGTATGGAAGGATGGATGGATGGATGGATGGATGGATTCAAATTACGACTGAGACAGACAGACAGACAGACAGACAGACAGACAGACAGACAGACAGACAGACAGACAGACAGACAGACAGATAGACAGACAGACAAGAAATATGACAGGGAGGGATAGATGGATAAAAATTATGACAGACAGATAGACTTGCCTTGCCTTGCCTTATACAATGAGATTGATTGAGTGTGCTTTAGAATGGTAAAGTCTAGAGGGGATACAGCTGCATATACACTAATCAATATAGCATAATCTTTATGACACTGTACAACAATAACATATATATATAGTTTTACATTGCTGTGAGGGGTAGGTTTAGAATTGGGATGGAAGTAAGCGTTAATAAAATTTGATTTAATGCGTAATTTAATAAATAGTATTAGTAATACTTTGTATAGGCAGCACAGTGGGGCAGTGGGTAGCACAATAGCCTCATAGCAAGAAGGTCGCTGGTTCAAGCCCCGGCTTGATCAGTTGGCATTTCTGTGTGAGTTTGTTCTCCCCGTGTTCGTGTGGGTTTCCTCCAGGTGCTTCGGTTTCCCCCACAAGTCCAAAAGCATGTGCTATAGGTGAATTGGGTAAGCTAAATTGTCCGTAGTGTATGTGTGTGAATGAGTGTGTATGGATGTTTCCCAGTGAAGGGTTGCAGCTGGAAGAGTATCCACTGCGTAAAACATATGCTGGATAAGTTGGCGGTTCATTCCGCTGTGGCGGCCCCAGACTAAGCCAAAAAGAAATGGATTGAATAAATACTCTGTATAATAACTGTTTTTATCATTACTGTAATGATTTGGTTTAGGGTTTGGGTAGAGGTAGACATTAATAAAACACAATTAATGGGTAATTTAATAAATAATATTAATAATTCTCATTAACTTCTGGCTGCGGCTGCGTTACAACTAGCAACAGCCTTTGAGAGTCTACCAGGGTGTTGGACACCGCTAAAAATGAATACTCCCTTAAATAGTTTACTTTTTAAGGGTATGGGGGGCAGCAGGACTTTGGATATAGCCCTAGTAAGAGCTGGATTAGCTTGTTTATGTGGGTTTGGTTAAGGTTGGAACACTTTTCAGGATGCCAACCCTACAAGATGAAATGCAGTGATTCTTGCATAAGACAGTTCTTTCAAAATATATATAATAAACATTTCCAAACCCAATCCTTATTGAATGGTACTTTTCAACATGCATTTAAAATCATTTTGAAGTTTTTCTCTCCTTCGAAAACATTCCTTTCAAAAGAAAAATGTCATCATGGGAAATAAATCACTTGGACTTTCTAACAGGTACTGTAGAGTCTATGTGAGTGACATCTCAATTTGCAGTCTACTTTTTTATGAGAGGTTTATTCAAATAATGGCGTGGCAGATCCAAGAGAGGTTGTGTTGATGCTGAAATAACATTTCCATTTGTCTGAAAAAAATATTGATTTCATGAATCAAAACGTCCAAAAAAAACTGTAGCAAAATAATATTAGTGATAAGTATGAGGCTTCGCTAGATCTACATATTTTCAAATGTGGAATAAAATTTTTGTGACAGTTGATTAATCTAGAATTAACAATTCTAGCGGGTAAGATGGTGGCTCAGTGGTTAGCACTGTTGCCTCACACAAACACACGCGCTATAGGTGAATTGGGTAAGTTGAATTGTCTGTAGTGTATGTGTGTGAATGACAGAGTGTATGAGTGTTTCCCAGTACTGGGTTGCAGCTGGAAGGACATCCGCTGTGTAAAACATATGCTGGATAAGTTGGTTGTTTATTCCACTGTGGTGACCCCTGATAAATAAAGGAACTAAGCTGAAGGAAAATGAATGAATGAATGAATGAATAAATTAATGAATAACAATCACAGCCCAGAACCATTAGGTAGTTTAAGACAAGGGATGCTCATAAGCTGCCAGTTGCAGTAATCTCTTTAGTTTTCAGCAGAGTATTTGCACTGCTCTTCTCGAATCATCAGCAGAATGTCATATGAAACACATGCTGTGCTTAAGCCTCTGATGTCTTTCTGCTGGTGATGCTGACCTGCTTTGAACCCTCTGTTCTCAGAAGTAGCTCTTCGCTGCTACAGCTATTCAGAATCAATGCCAGACATCCAGGTTAGACACCGCCAATGCAAATACTTTTGATTTCTATTTAAAGCCTTATTCATAGCAAGTGTCTGAGTGTCATCTGGATGAGGTGATACTTTTTTTAAACATTAAGCAGTAGTAACGGTAAATGTGAAATTGATAATACCACAAAAAATAGTGGGTCTTTAAAAAAATGGTACATGATATCAGAGAAAGCTTATATAGATCAGTGTTTCCCAACCCTGTTCCTGAAGGCACACCAACAGTACACATTTTCAACTTCTTCCTAATCAAACACACCTGAATCAACTCATCAGCACATTAGAAGAACCTTCAAAACCTGAAACGAATGAGTCAGATAAGGGAGACAATATAATGAGCTCTTTAACAAGCATAGTAACATATACAAGATGTAAGTTTATTAAAATAACTGTTCTATTATTAAATGCAATTGTGTACATTGGTTCTTTCATACAGTGTTTATAGTTGTCTCTGTCAGGTAAACAGTGAATTATTTGCTTGCTTCTTTTTTGATCTATAGGGGGCTCTGGTTCATCTTCCTTACAGCAGCATGAATAATCTGTACGTCTGGTTTTTTAATTACCTAGTGTCTTTCCTTCCTCTCACTAAGACCAAAAATATCATGATTAATCACGGTGTCCTATAAAGCTATTAGTGTGAATTTAGCCCTGTGGATCTGGAGGATATATAGAATCTGCGAGTGGTCTGCTATCCATCATGGACAGAGAGAATGTGAGTGCGTGTCTGACAAGCCAGGTAATATGAATAAAAGATGTTTAGGAAGTGTCAGAAAGGCTAACAAACGTGGGATGTTTTTGATTGAGATGTTGAGAAGAAGTCTCATTTTTTTAAAATTACTTTGAAGTCTTTTAGTTTGATGGCCTTTTGCTGTCGCACAAGATTAAGGTGATGTTTACCTCACTCCATTTCCAGCTAAAAACTGAAAGCATTTTCAATGTTTTAATATTAAAACACAGATTTTACTCAGTATTACATTCGATGCTTATGACAAAAACATCCCTCAGGTAATGTTGCACACTTTGCTTTTGTGATATTGCTTTCAGAGATTTTGGTCCATATTGACATAATAGCATTAGGCAATTGCTGCATATTTATGATGCAAATCTCCAGTTTTACCACATCCCAAAGGTCTTCTATTGGATTGATGTCTGGTGACTGTGGAGGACATTTAAGTGCAGTAAACTCATTGTCATGTTTAAGAAAGCAGTCTGCAAAGATTCACGATTTATATAATGGTGCGATATCCTGCTGGATGTAACGATTAGAAGATGGGTACAGGAACAATACTCAGGTCGGCTGTGGCAATGATAAAGTAATTGTAATATGATTACCACCTATTTAAAATGAAATTAAAATGAAATACAGTTATTTATTTTTTGTATATTTTAGTTTGTAACACCATTACATTTATTTCATTCCTATCCAGCCTTGCCTACAAATGCTCTACTGATACTCTAATGAGAGCTAGTTGTCTTGTATGAGCAAAACTGCTTTTCCAGTAGTCAACAGAATCAACAGAAGTGGACCATCAAAATGATTGCAACCCCAGATCTGCTTTGTGTGCTCAGCTTTCTCCTCGGACAGCACATGCATCGGTTTAATTGAATGATAAAGCAAACATCTCTGGTCTTGAAGTGGTAAGCAGGATTCAGAATGACAGGGATAAGATAGACGGATAGAGGCTAATGGTCCTGCGGTTAGCTAAAGGCTACTGCAACATGATACTGCACTAGGCTAATGGAGGAGGCCGGTCTGCTGGGGCTCAGTGTTGCCTTTTGATGGTTTGGTAGAGTAAGGGAGAATGTGCCTGCTTTCTTCTTTTCTTTCTTTTTTTTTTTTTTTAAATATAATTTATTATGACTCAGCTGCTACTTTCCTATTCTCAATCTACAAAATGCTTCTTTTCACGACGACCTATCAGATATTTGCTCAGTTCGACACCTTTGTGTTATAAATTGACTAGGAATCAGAGCTGTAATCGGGCCATAAAAATTAGGCCCGATAGGGTCAGAGCCCGACAGAATTCAACCCGAACCCGACAGGTACATTTTGATTGACAGCTTAATAAAGCCCAAACCCGTTTATAGCCCGACATTATTTAAATGTGCACATGCACACAGCTCTTTTGCCTTTTTGTGAAGAATGAGTCCTTTGTATGTTTTACCATAGTTTATTCGTAACAAACATAGGCTATAGGTCACTTGGAAGTTGGAACAAAGAAATAAAATAAGTCCTCTGTAACATCGTAACATCTTAGCAC